CTGTCGGAGGACTCTGCGTGAAGAAATGGTTTTTGAATTCACAGCAAAAGTAATAGTAGGAATCAGAGTAGACACTTATTTGTCGGTCACATTTAAAACTATTAACTAGGAAAAAGAAATAAGAACGAAACAACAAAACACATCATTACTCTGGTTCGTCACTGCCCAGGGATTCTCCACTGTACCCCAGCTTTCAACGCAAGGACGGGAACAGGGACTGTCACCAGGTCAGACGCACCGACCCCTTCCCCCGCCCACCGCACAGCTGCGCAGCGCCGGAGGGGAGAAAAACATGCCTGTAAGTCAGGGTTCCTGACATAAACATGCAACACATGACATTTTATTTTTGGTTTCTGGTAAAAGTGAGTGCTCTGCAACGGGGCTTAAGAAATAATGTTTTACGGTGTGAAGAGAACACTTGATAACATATTGGTGGATCTCAAATTCATTATATTTCTTCTAAATCGAAAGTTTAATTATTACCTGAAAGAGCTGCTGGCAGGGAGTGAGTGATGGATTTTATGCCTAGGAGGGAGAGAGCAAGGGACGGGTCCCCTCATCTCTTCCGCACTCCCAGACTTTGCCTTATGTAGCAGTCTGCAGTCCCTGCGTTATAATACAATGTAAGCTTTTTAATCCTCTGTGCTCTGCTGTCTTTAAAAAATGTAAGAGCCCCCAGACACACACACACACACACACACACACACACACACTTTTGCACACTGCTAATCAAAACTTCTACTTATAACACATGTAAAATCTGATACAATTATCATCAAATTCAAGGCATTTCGTTGCAAACCAATTCCCCAGCATTGCTGCCGTCAGAGGAGACAAGCGCTTTCCGGTGTGCTGTTGGGAAATTGGTCGCTGGCCATGTCGCCATTAGAAGCAGTGGGTACTTGGCCGGCAGAAGCAAGTTTGCACCTGACTCAGCTCCCAGGAAGGGTCTGCAAAAGACGGCCAAGGTAAAGCTCTTCGGAGGAAAACTGTGATAAATTATAGCAAAGCACTGTAAACTTTCCTCTGCTAAAACACTTGTGAGCGCTTTGCACTGCACTTCCGTGAGTAAATAGGGTTTCCCTTTGTTTGCCAATGTCAGCAAATACCAAGCCCCAGGTGATATTTACTTTATTCCCGGGGGTCGGGCTGTCAAACAGTTATCCTCGGTAACAAAGTGCGGAGCCACATGTATAGAAGGGAAAGCACGCCGGTGCCCCTTGCAGGCCAGGGAGATGCACTCTGGCCCCAGCACACGGTCTGCCGAGAGTCCCCCTAAATGATGTCCTTTTCTATTTATTTCTTTTTGCTTTCTCTTAAGTATCACACTTGCTAAGGTTCAGCCCTTCTACTGTTTCCCTGATATTTTTTTCCTCCAAGTCCTGCCAACATCCCTGTTTAGATAATTCCCCGAAAGCGGTCCGTAAGACAGACAAAACGCGATTTGCTACCGTCTCTGGCTCTTTTTATTCTTTCTCATAAATCAATCCTTTTAGCGCCTGTGTCATTTTTGCTTCCCTTCTTTGTGCTTTTGAGTTCATCGACATCGTTTTGATAATGAAATGCACCAACTCAGTGCGGGTCTGTTTTGGAGACGGCTGCCAGCGTCCCCAAGTGCGGGAACACGAGGTAGGGCTTCAGGAGGTCACACGCGCGCGCGCGCACGCACACACACACACACACACACACACACACACACACACACACACTGCAGCAGCCCAATCAACGTAAAGACCTGTCTTGTTTTAAGTCTCAGTGCAGACAGAGGCCCCTACCCTTCAGCCTGATGCCAGAGGGCTTACACATAAACCCTGCTTGACTTGGAAATCAAAGAGAGGTGAGAAGAGTTCAGATTTTCTCATGCTGAGGTATGGGGCCTGCCAAGAGACAAGACTGAACTAATAAGGTCTGGAACTGTGCTTTATCTAGTTAATAGCAGCCTTTGACATCACAGGACAACATGCCATCTCCTTGTGTTTACGTCCTCAGGAAGTGCCACGGTGAAATCGAACATCAGAGGTTTTAATCTGTGCACAAATGCGTCTCATAAAAACGTGCAGCGAAAGGAACAGATTTCACACCTGCTCCCTGCATTACAGGAGGAAGTTAATCGACGACATTGAAACTGTGGTTAATAAATGTTTTCCGTCTGCATTTGTTTCTGATTTCTCATCTGCATCTGAAGTTAGGAATTGCCCTTCAGTGTTTCCTGTTCTTCCTAAAACCCGGTCCCTCTGCTGGAATGGGACACATTGAACTAGAGAGAATAAAAGTTGGTCAGTTGCCATCTCTGAACTAAATAATCTCACAGTCAGATGGGGGAAGAGGGCACAGCAAGTACGCAGTAACAATAGTAGTGGGGACAACAACAAGATTTTCAAAAATGATTAAGGTTATTCTCCAAGAATACTTTAAACACAATGGTAACATTAACTTATTTTTACACATATCATTCATATTTGTGTTTATTCTCCTTATAGCTGTTCAGCTTCTACTATATCGAAGACAATTACGGAAATTCTAGGACTAGAGACACATGAGTGACACACTCACACATATGTACACACACATGTACATGCACACGTGTGCACACACGCACAAACCCTGCCCCCCACCCTCAAACAGCAGAAGAGTGTGACATTCAACGATCACCTCATTTAATTCTTGCAGAATCCCAGCTATTATAATCCCTTACTATACCTATAAGCTCTGAGTGTAAACATAGGGAGGTGATCTGCTCACAGGCACACGGAAGAGCCAGGACATATTTCGGGTGTCAGTGGTTACGATTTGGCT